AGATTTTATAATCCCCACCGATTTTCAATTTTGTCAAAACTACAGATTTTACAGGCCTTTTTCTCTAAAAATCGTCCGTATTTAGGGTCAATGACTGTAGTGTGTGTGTGTGTGAATTTCAAAGGAAAAAGTACACCTTTTATCCCTAAAGTGTACGAAAGGAAATTCACACGCCTACACGTGTGCGACATTCACCCACTTTTGTTTTACAGGGTAAACTTGGAGCGTACATACCAATGCAAGCTAAAAGAACCTAGAAGCAAAAACTCTGCAGAATTTAGAAAGTGTAACATTCACTCCCTTATGTACATTGTACGCTGGATCTGATTCTTGCTTCTATGAGAAATATTGTAACGTTAAAAAATCAAATAGTAAAACAAGCGAGTTTGTCTTTTGTCGACGAGCAAAACGTAGGCGCTGCATCTACATCGTTACCAAGACATTTTTTTACAGTGTTCGGGGGGATTCATCAGTGCAAATAATGACAGACTCGTTGACAGCGGCGCTTTATCATCGTCACACAGCGTTCGGACGAGCGAGGTACCAAACTATGGCGCGTCGCACAAGCCGCCGATACATTCAGCAGCAGCAGCGCTGCGTGGGGACACAAAGGGCCCACCACGTGTCTCGCACGTAGCGCCGTATATATCGCCCCCCAATGTTGTGCGCGCTCTAATGCCGCGGTCGTGCCCCGGGCCGCAAATGGCCGAGTCACCCCTTCGGCAGCGCACGCACGTGCGACTCACGTGGGGAGTGGAGGGAGTTCAGAAGTAAACTGTCAAAGTATTATGATTATTATTTTTTACCCATTTCATAGTAGTATCGAACCCACCAGAGGAGGGCGGTAAGCGGTAGGGTGGGGCTGTGCAAAAACAATGCAGCAATACAGAAACGGGACTTGTGCTGCGCTCTTCTCCCCGTCTCCTCCTTGTTGCTGCGCTAAGGACTATACGGGGACGGGGAGCGCCTGCGGAGCGCGGGATAGGCCAGCCGCCCAACGCCTGTGCATGGTATCGCCTGCCGACGCCGTGCGGCTTTGACTCGCCTCGAGGAAATAAAACGCTCATTCTTTGATACAACTGACTTTTGTTAAATTGAACACGTAAAGTTGAGCGTTATGCACGCACGCAGTGACAGAGGCTGATCGCTGAGCTACATCGATACCGCCGAGGGCGACAAACATACTCCTAGCAAACAGTCTGCAAGGGAAACAGAGAGGGTGGGGACCGACCCTCGCAGTCGACGGTTGAAATTCGCCCTGTAAATGGAAAGAAGACAATTTCCACATAATATATGGAGGCAAAATTTTGATTTAGCTGGCTGTGCTCCGAAACGTTTCCGTTTTAAACTCAAAATCGTTCCTTCCTAGTTAGAGTCGGTTAGAGTGCATATGGCCCCCAAAAAAGAATATTTCGAACAGTCCACGGTGTACTTTACAACTTTTAGCGACATGACACCCGTACGCCTAATGCTAAGTTCCTGCCCCCCATCGGTTACCCCCGAGCAGAGTGTCATCCGCAACACGCCTAAAGGAGACGACAAGGAGGAGGGATAAAGACGGCTAGGAGTCCCCAGCAGCCCGAGCGCGGCGGTGCTGACCAGCAGAGGTGCCCCCGCGCACCGCACATTGCGTCGCACGCAGCGCTCGGCGCGCGTCACGGGACCGCTCGTTAGGTCCAATTACAGGGCCCTCCTGCCCGGCGCTTACCCTATCCTGCTGCGCTGCAACACCGCAGCGCGCGCGCAGTGGCAGTCGTTCTCCAACACATGAAGGAACCCGCGGGGCCCGTCTTACACGACGCGGCAGAAAATCGACCGTATAATTTTGAGTCCGTCGGCGTTATTGAGATGCGTAAAGGATAGAGCAGTAGGGCCTGGTCCTTGGCTGGTCCCCTCCCCCCCCC